AGTGAAACAGAATAAAACATGTTTTTCTGGAGGGAATGATTTATTCGAGAGTGAGCAGAAGATTTTCTACATCCAAAGGAATAACAACAACAGGTGAACCTTTTCATCAAGCTCCAACAGGTATCATCAGCATGGGAAATCCTCGCTGGCTGGCAGGGAAGGAGACGGAGCACGAATGGGAATGTCCCGAGTGCAGTGATGTCAGGTTTTAATTCATTATTTCAGTTTTAAAAAGTAAATGACCCTTTTTCTGGCCGTTGATGTATCCGCCATAGAGTCCCGATAACCACTTCCTGTGTTTACCATGTCTGTGGTTAAGACTTAAGTGTGGAAGGGGCTGCGCTTTAGTAGGAAGATTTAGGGCCTCACGGCTAGTGCTGTCGCCGCGGACTGTGCTTTGCAAGATTTTTTTTATTTTTGGTCTGCCCCCGACCGGAAAAAAATATCCTGGGCCATGCCGTGGATTCGAACCCGGGGCTCTGTCCCGTAGGAGCGCCCAGCATTCTTAACAGTTCGATATGTTGGAATTACGAGTCAGACTGCCAACGCCTAAGCCCCGGACGCCGCGTTTAAATACTGTTACTTTTGTGAAATAGTTCATATATTCCTGCTTTTTTTCATTCAAATATCGTTAGTGTGACTGGTAGAATATTGTTGTTGTTGTTGTTGTTGTTGTTACTGTTCGTTAGTTTATATTTTTTTTAATTAGATTATTACTGTCGACAAAACCCCAAACCTCTATTTCAATAGCTCTCAACGCTTGATGTCTTTAAAAAGATGTCAGTACAGTACCGTAGTCTACCCTGAGCAAAAGTTATGACTATTCATTAGTATCTAATGCACATTCCTTTGGCATTTCCTGTATTTTATTTCAATTCATCTTCATTTCCATATACAAATCTCCAATATATATATATATATATCTCACCAATACGATGAGTCCAGAAAGGCAAGACCTGGCCGCGCAGTTTCTGCATCCAGTATCGAGACAGTGAACCCACAAAGCGAGGATCAAACCAGAGAATGAGCGCCTCAATCTACAAGCCGGTGTCTCAGAAAGTTCCCGCCAATGACAAAGACCAGACGTCATCCAACATGGGTACGAGGTATGAGGTTGACACGCGCTGTGGATTCTGGATGTATAAACCGGCCTTCATACAGCCTCTGGCAAAGGTTAGCGTCTTTGCTGTTCTCTATGGATTTGCTGGATTGATGACGCAAACGCTGACGTTTTACGTGAATTCTCAGGTAAGTTGTTGAACAAATTATATCCCCGGTAAGGGCTAGGAGTTTTTCACCTGAACTTGGACTTCTAGTAATTCGCCCTGGTCCCTGGGTAGTGAGATCGGACGCCTATGTGCATTGTTGTTCATGTAAAAAATCCCATGGCAGAATAAAATCGAAAAAAGTAGCCCAACAGTGCTGCCCGGGCAAAATCTGGAATTTAAAATCTACCCACAGTACTTCAGGATTCGTCACAGGTGCTACAGAGCCTGTGCACTGTGCTGTGCTTCTTTGGACTCAGACTTAAGTTAGAAGAATAACGGAGTACTTATGGGTTACCACCCGTGTGCCATAATGTTGATCCATTGTTCAAACTTCATGAGAGATATTTTGGGCGATAGGTTGTTCCAAAAGACAATATTGATTACAAAGCAGGTTGTATATACACATTGTATGAAATCGAAGTCACATTGCAGCGGCCGGCCGAATGATTAGAACTCTGGGTTCTCAAGCGGGAGACCCGGGTTTGAATCCTCGTTAAGATTGAGGATATTCTTTTGCAAAAATACAATTCTTATCTGCACAGTCCGTGGCGACAGCACTAGATTTGCAGTCCTGTAAATATTTCTCGTATGAAAGACGACCTCCCCTCTCCTCTCCCCTACCATCTTTTTTTCGCCTACACTGAAAAAAGGGTCAGTGCAAGCAGTGATGGTAGTTCAGTGGCAGAGGTCAGATTGTGCTAATTTATAAACTTAGGGAATAAGGCTTTACTTTGATAGTCAATGAAAACTGACAAGTTGTTTGCTCTGTCATCATAATTATGTGCTCCGCCTATAGGCATAGGCGTCATCCTACACGATCACCCGAATCTTGGATCAGGTCATTGTTCTTGTCACGCCGCATGTATATGAAAAAGTTATCTAGATATTTATCTGCTTTGTCTTTCCTTCCGAGCAGTTCAAATAAATACAGGACTGGTTTGACATCAAGCAAGAAGTCCGTCAGGGCTGTGTGCTGTTTGTTTAATCTGTACAGTGAAAATATAATGAGAAATGTCAGACATGATATAAACAGAGAGCTGTATGATGCTATAAATACGGATAGTCATGAAATACTAGAGATGCGACATGCCGATGATACAGTTTTCACATCACAGACTGATATAGAAAACTTAACCTCAACCCCAAAACAAATTGTGAAAATCACAGCTTATATTTTAACATAGCAAAAACAAAGATAATGCATCCAGATAAAACGGCCATGGAGAAATAAATAAATGGTAATGAGGAAAGATTGGAGGTTGTGGACAATTTTGAATATCTTTGGTCATTGATTACCAACAATGGTGACACAATGAAAGAAATTAAACAACGACTATCAGTTGCTCCTCGCAGAATAAAACAACTGAATAAATTATCAAGTGGGACAGACAGAACTACAAAAATAGATTTCTAAGAGCATGCATCTTTGCCATTGCAACATACGCCTGTGAGACCTGGACACTTACTAAACAAGCCGAACAGCGCATAAATGATTTGAAGGCAAACTTTATAGACGGGTTCTAAGAATATCAAGAACAGAACAAATACATCCATACTTCAAGAATTAAATACTGAAGAAAGTTGACTGTTAACGAGGATAAAAAAAAGAAAATTTGAAATGTTTTTGGTCACTTAAAACGTCACAAAAGTTTAGAGAGAACAATAATGAAGGTGTATATGCCTGGAAAGAGAGGAAGAGGAAGAACAAAGAGAAGATGTGTGCAGGATGTGGTGGATGATCTCCAGATGGGTGTATCGGACACAGGACATCCTGCTTGTGATCGAGAAGTTTTCCGGAGGGTTGTTGTGGGAGCAAGGTTCTGCAAAGAACATGTTACTGACTGACTATATTTGTATAGAACAATCGACACATGTCGCCGCATGGGGTCAACATCATGGCGGCCGCCTTTACTTCCCAAGAAATTACCTGGTGCAAATTTAAAGCTGGGTCAACCTGGGAGCTAAAGTCGTTTAAAAAAAAAAAACAGATACGATATGGATTTGAATCTAAAAATTAGGATCAGCGTCATGACATTAAGTTACCAGGTCTCCCCCAGAACAAGAACTATTCCAAAAATCAACCTCCGATTGGCTGGTAAAAAAAGACCGTTCGCCATAGCAACACCGTTCATTGCTTGCATCATTCAATAGTCTTTTAGCTCTTTATGAATACTTTAACGTACAGTAGCATTTGTTCAGTGGTTTACGGATCGTGAATGAACAAACATTGCCTCTGTAACTGTCTTTCTAGTAACTTGTCAAATTTGTGGTGTGCTTCGTTTTCTTCCAGCAGACTAAAAATGCTGACGAAATTCACCTTCCACTGTCTCGTGTGTAGGGTAACGTTATGAGAGACAGTTCTGGGCAGTTCTGATGTAGAAGGGGCGTGAAGATGGTGCGTGATGATGGTGTATAAGAACGACATTCACATGTGAAAGATAAGCTCATTCAAATGTCGATCAAGTCTTAGCGCAAAAGTGGCGTTTCACAGTTTAGGAGTTTTATGTCAGATTCATAAGCTAGTGAGAAAAATGTGAAAATTGTGTACAAGGATATCAAACACACGCACATACAAACAAACAAACACACACACACATACACACACACAATAACCTCCAGATAACTCAATTTATGATGGTGGGTGCAGGATATTTTCCCCCTTTAAACACACAATGCAATACTATAGTGAGATATTTTTGAGAAATTCCCATTTAAATGATTCTATTGCAGGTGACCACATTGGAGCGACAATTTGGCTTCAGTTCATACCAAACAGGCATCATTCTGGCAGCCAACGACATCGGGTACCTGGCCTGTGTGCTGTTTGCGGCTTATCTGGCACCCCGAACTCACATCCCCAGGTCGCTAGGTAGGTCATTCAATTAAGTAAAGAAGTAAACTACACAAGTAAACAACAGGAAAGTAAATAGAGGTATGTTATACGCTTTCACGCAATGGTGCCTCGCATGCCTATGTTGTGTCAATTCAGCACTCGATGGTGACGTAGTAACATCACACCTGCCGCATTGAATTCCCAGGATATTACATGGTAATCGCTTAGGCTGGTTCGGCCTTGCAGCCAAGGTCATTTTGGAATCAAATCTGATGCGGATTTAAACACTCAAGCTTCAGGCCGATTGCACTGCTTCTATCCGCTGCACCACCGAGGCTCCTCATTCATTACATGTCGATTACCGTTACACAACATAAACAGTATTTCTTCTTCTGCCTATTCTTTTTTCCTTCTCTTCTTCTTCTTCTTCTTCTTCTTCTTCTTCTTCTTCTTCTTCTTCTTCTTCTTCTTCTTCTTCTTCTTCCTCTTCTTCTTCCTCTTCTTCTTCTTCTTCTTCTTCTTCTTCTTCCTCTTCTTCTTCCTCTTCTTCGTCTTTTTTTTTCTTCTTCTTCTTTTTCTTCTTCTTGTGTCTGCATCTGCGTACGTATCTCAGTTCAAAAAGAGATCATATAAGAAATAAACTGATAAAATAATTATTTTGATCATCACCAAACATCAAGTCTTTCACAGAACGTCGCACTCTTCACGACACGCTTAACAGCAGTTTCTCTTTCTATAGCGTATTTTCCAGCTCTATGTGCGTTTATAACTAATGCATCTTCATTGTCTTGTAACCATCTTCTTGGCAGAGGTCGGTCTTCAATGTCTTGTAACCATCATCTTTGTAGAGGTCGGTCTTCAGTGTCTTGTAACCATCTTCTTTGTAGAGGTCGGTCTTCAATGTCTTGTAACCATCTTCTTTGCAGAGGTCGGTCTTCAATGTCTTGTAACTATCATCTTTGCAGAGGTCGGTCTTCAATGTCTTGTAACCATCATCTTTGCAGAGGTCGGTCTTCAATCTCTTGTAACCATCTTCTTTGTAGAGGTGGGTCTTCAATGTCTTGTAACCATCTTCTTTGCAGAGGTCGGTCTTCAATGTCTTGTAACCATCATCTTTGTAGAGGTGGGTCTTCAATGTCTTGTTACCATCATCTTTGTAGAGGTCGGTCTTCAATGTCTTGTTACAATCATCTTTGTAGAGGTCGGTCTTCAATGTCTTGTTACCATCATCTTTGTAGAGGTGGGTCTTCAATGTCTTGTTACCATCATCTTTGTAGAGGTCGGTCTACAATGTCTTGTAACCATCTTCTTTGTAGAGGTGGGTCTTCAATGTCTTGTTACCATCATCTTTGTAGAGGTGGGTCTTCAATGTCTTGTAACCATCATCTTTGTAGAGGTCGGTCTACAATGTCTTGTAACCATCTTCTTTGTAAAGGTCGGCCTGTGCCTCGTGTTCCGGAAACTGTCCCCTTCCTGGAGGTTCTCTCTAGACCACCATGTTGTCTAACATGACGAAAATATCTCAGCTTTCTGGAGATTTAACTTTTCATCAGCCAGTTCCCCTTGATGCTCAGTTCACGTAGGGTGTCGGGGTTGCTGCTGGGTCTATGGCCCTATAAGAATCGCCTTGTGGCATTTCATAAATCATTTAAATAAATCAGATACAGCAGTGGAAACGACAAATGTCTGTTAAAAGAAAAAAGCAAGAACATCATTTCTGTGGAATGATTTACAAACGCGTAGTAAGATGTTCGGTACCGAAAGGGCTAATGGACTGCATCATATACCGAAAACGCCCCAATTCCTGGAAAAGAAACCCGGTGGCGAGGTGATTAGACCCTTGCCTGTCGGTCTGAATATTTTGGGTTCCAATATTCGTCTAGTCGGATTATAATTTACCTATCCCCTAGATATACAAAGCTTAACATGAGTACAAGGAAATGTCCCGGGGAAAAGGGGCTGGGAGTAAACGAAGCCGGTGTCATTTTAATCACATCACCATCCAGTGGCTGATTGGCGAGACTGGCTTGTACATTACATTAATACTTATGTCTCACTTTGATGCGGCTCTGTCGCTCATTTGTGATGGTGAATGCCTTTAACAATGTCACGACCCATGATTAGGTAATACAACAATCAGAGGTGTCTGGATTGTTTGTGTTGTCAGTTGTTACAACAATCATCTCTTTCAGTATTGTTTGTATTGTCAGTTGTTACAACCATCATATGTCTCTGTATTGTTTGTATTGTCAGTTGTTACAACAATCAAGTGCCTCTGTATTGTTTGTATTATCAGTTGTTACAACAATCATACGTGTCTGTATTCTTTGTATTGTCAGTTGTTACAACAATCATATCTTTCAGTATGGTTTGTATTGTCAGTTGTTACAACAATCATATGTGTCTGTATTGTTTGTATTGTCAGTTAATACAACAATCATATGTGTCTGTATTGTTTGTATTGTCGTTGTTATCATATGTGGTCTGTATTGTTTGTATAGCAGTTGTTACAACAATCATATGTCTGTATTGTTTGTACTGTCAGTTGTTACAACAATCATATGTCTGTATTGTTTGTATTGTCATTGTTACAACAATCATATGTGTGTATTGTTTGTATTGTCAGTTGTTACAACAATCATATGTGTCTGTATTGTTTGTATTGTCAGTTGTTACAACAATCATATGTGTCTGTATTGTTTGTATAGTCAGTTGTTACAACAATCATATGTGTGTATTGTTTGTACTGTCAGTTGTTACAACAATCATATGTGTCTGTATTGTTTGTATTGTCAGTTGTTACAACAATCATATGTGTCTGTATTGTTTGTATTGTCAGTTGTTACAACAATCATATGTGTCTGTATTGTTTGTATTGTCAGTTAATACAACAATCATGTGTGTCTGTATTTTTAGGTATAGCGGTGATCATTTATGGGATCTCCGGCATAGCTTGTTCCCTCCCCCACTTTATGTATGGAGCATCGGCCAACATAGATCCAACAACAGACCACACCAACAGCACAGAATCTAACTTCAGAAAACAGGCGGCTGTTGTAGGCAGCTTGTGTGACATCTTCAACAACAGCGGGGATACCTGTGGGATCGATGCAGGTAGGATTATGCCCTCACTAACTGCCGTTATCCATAATCTCCTGACAGATGTCAAACCACACAAGGAGTCAAACTAGTCAGCTTCAGGTTATCACACTCAGAAACATCACATTCACTTATTTTTGATTATTTGCTGTTTCAATGGATCAACATTAGGGCACACGGTTGCATCCCACAAGTGTTCAGTTCTACTTCTAACTCGAGCCAAATCTGAAGAATCTCAGCACAATGCACGAAGTTCATTGCACCGGCGAGGACCCTGAAATAATTTGGGTAGATTTGTAGCTCCAAATTTTGCCCGGGAAACGCCGTTAGGCTACTCTTTTCGATTTCCAACTGCCAAGGTATTTTTTAAGTGCGCAACAATACACACGGGTGACCGATCTTACTACCCAGAGACCAGGGAAGATTACAAGAAATCCACGTGGAAAAAATCACAGTCTTCAGCGGGGCTTGAACCCAGGACTTCCAGCACCCGAAGCGGACGCCATACCTCTTATCCCCGAGATATCTTGTCAGTAGAGACTCCGATTCGTGTCTGATACATGACGTTTGTATTTGACAAAAAGAGTGGTTGGTTATGACACTGTTCGTACCTTGAAAGTTGTAGATAAAGCTGTGTTGGATACTGCGGCCCTTAGAAGAAGTAGATCCCATTAGACAGGTAAGGCGTTTCTTTAGTGACTAGCTGACACTTTCATTAGAGTGGCAAGACTTGATGTGCCTAACCTCCATGCCGAAAACACCTTTGCCACACTGGGAATTAAAGTGCATAGACATTGGTTTGAATGCACCATTCTGGACATCATTTAACCAGATGTTTCTAAGTATATAAAAAATGCTTTCAATGACACTCTACCAGTGTGTCTATTGCCATGGTTGTACGTCCTTGATGTAGACTTATTTACTTCGTCTCCAAATCAACGATCCAGTCCAACATGTTGGTTTCAGGTTCAACACATTCAGTAGTTAATTTATCGTCAGGTAGCAGATCTTTGTAGAACGTCACACTCATCCCAACTTATCAGGGGGTAGAAAGGGGGGGGGGGTGGGGAGACTCGGTCTCTCGACAGTTCTCCTGCCTCGGTGTATTATACATCTTTTGCTCATTTTCGTGCTGGCCTGCTCGTGCTTCTCTTTGCTGATACCAGACCTTCTGGCACAGTTCTGTCAAATCGTCTGTAGACTTGATATGGCTAAAATATTTCAGTCTTAACGACAAAATGCAATTTACTAGCCGATAGTCCTTCATGTTCCTATCATTTATTATGCAAGTATTTTCTGACAGTTTGGTTCATGGTATTTAGAGAATCATGCTATAGCTTATAGCTCAAAGCCCTATTTTATTTCACAATGCTAGTCGCACCCGTATATTTGCATGCTCTGAAAATCGTGACCTTTCTTTCCTACTGGCGCTTAACCGTAGACTTATCAGTACTGTTTATTGAGTTAAATAATGTCTGTAATAAATAGTGTCGGCTTAGTGGTTACTAACCCTGTTCGTAATACCGAAATAGCTGATTAACTGCAGGCGATTAGGCAGATTACTGCTTCGCTACGTTTTTGTGAATTTAATTCCTGAAAAAAAGCAATGGTAAACTAGCGAAGGTGACATTGCTTAGTAAAACCCAAAATAGACAACAAATGATGGGGGAAAAGTCTGCAACGTCTTCGACAATAAACACAGCCAAATGTTTTTCATAAATTAGTAGTCTTTTCCCACGTTATCCCTGAGTTTTATCAACTAGGCGATATGGATAGTATCATTATCAATAAGTAGGTAGGTAGGAGTTTCGCTTGAAACAAATCGTCACATTCAACCAGCATCCCCAAGGGGGAGCTTTAGGTTATAATTATGACTAGGTTATGAGCGCCATAATAGAATGGCTTAGCATTGCATGCCACGAAGAGCCCTGAAAAGGATGCGATCAAAGGAGACAGACCCGAATACTATCCAGACCGGATAGTCGCCTACTGGCGAGACAATGGGCAACCCGACATTATCATCAAATGTCTTGCTGAATATCGGGAGCTACCATGCCTATCTACAGCATAAAATCTTCAGCATCATTAATCAATTCATATAACAAGAAGCCTTCATGCCATGACAAAAAGCGGTCAAGAATACTCTCGCGTTGTTTTCCTAGGTCTGTCTTTCCACAAATCTTTGTACTAGTCACTGAATGTTAAATCAAGAATCGACATCACAGCATTCGCGACATTTCTCATAAGCGCTCCCTCCCCATCTTCAAAAGCAAGCACAGAGTTCCAAGTCCAGGGGTACCAATAGCAGTCTGGTTGTATATCCTTCTCACCTTTCCCTTGAGTGCTGATCCTCGACCCGATCTCCCCGGTGACTCCTCGCAGTACCATTCTCTTCAGACCATAATGACTCCTCTGTGCTTCCGCACTGTTCACCAGCCGCCAAAGGGCACTTACAACAACAAACTTGTCGTACATCAGTACACCACCAAGTAGTGCAGAACCAGCCAGCCTATCTTCCTGTTCATGTCCTAATGCACTGGCATCTCCTGGAAAAAATGTCCCAAATACGTTAACTACCTGGTGCCTCTAAAGCGATTCTTGCCGCTCTTCACGGAGCATACCGGTCTCCACAGAGCACACTGGTCTCCACTTTTCTCAGAAATTACGTCACGTCAGTGCAGCCGATTCTGAAGCCAGTGAAAGACAGCAGTGGCTGCCTCTACCTCCATTCTCAAACTAGATGTTGTGGTATCATATGCCAGGTTTTGTTGGACTAAGCCACGTCCATTCCCTTTTGCTGTGAACTCTCGTGAGACTCGTCTGCCTCGCACAAAGAGCCATCTGTATTAGATAATCACGTCACCTGGTCAAGAATCGTCATGAATCATTTGTCTAGCTTTTGATTCTGCAGCGCCCGTTGACCAGTCCCTGCACTCACGGCCTAGTTTCATCAGCTGACTCTTTGATATGATCAGCATTCCAAGTCCATAATCTATCAACGTCAGGATCGAATGCTGGCACATTGTGAACAACATTCTTTGTTCTATATGCGTTGCTGCCAAGACCTTGAGTGCGTTAAGTCCTTTTTGTCATTTCGCCACAACTGCCTCCACATGATCCCTGAAGGACAGGCTTCTGTCGAAAATGATACCCAGGAACCCCAGTTTGCTTTTTGCTTTTTAGGTTTCTATTATTAACTGTGAGGCGTTGAACATCAGTTCTTATAACTGTATTGCCCAGAGAGCACCATAAATCAGCTGCCTTTTCTTGGTTGATGAGAGCACTTATTTATGCACACCTTGCCTACAGTTGCCCATAGTTCTTGGGTTAGGTTAACTACCTTATTTATTGTATGATACACATGGCACGCTTTGTAAACCGATAACAGATAAATCTGCTTAAAGTCACACTAAACCTGTAGAGCAGACCCAAAATATTTAATGCACAAAAAGCATTAGACTTTTGGAAGTTAGCCTCCAGAGTTGCATGAGCTCCTTATTCGAAACGCAGGCCGCGCCAGCTTTACAATCACTAGTCACACCCACCCATTCTCATGAATAAGCACGGGGCTCAAACCCCACACAGCTCTCATACAGAGCTGTCTGAAGCCACGGTCTCCGAGGATTCTGAGGTGTACACAAAGCGAATAGCCCAATGTGTGCAAGCAGATGCTAACGCCACAGCTGATGCATTACAATCATTAACAACTGCTTTAACATAATCTACGTGAATAATTCCTACCCTCAAAAGAACGCTACTAGACTGAATAACTTTGTCAAACACCGTACGATACAAATTAGAGCTACAATCTAATGGAAACACGCGGTTAAAGGTCGCGACACTAGTCAATAACACGCTACATTCTTACAGTTCGTTACACGATGTCATTGTCGCAGTCCTACAAAATTCTCCCTATATTTTTCACCGAGCAGCGTTTTTGTTACCTTACTGTGTTCACTCCGACTTCGGGTTGCTCGGGAATTCGGTCAAGTGTACAGCTAAGTCCAGCTAAGTCATCAAGGCTCATCTTGTAGTGGTCAGTCTCTTTGGTCTCACCGTGAGTTCATATCTGGGTCATTACGTACAAACACAACGATTCAACATCATTATCACGTTGCCAACCTGGCATCTTACAGGCTGTCTGTTGCCGTGGCTCCCCTGCTCATAAGCAGGAGCACCATTAGCAAATGTCAGTATCCTTTCCACTCCTGGTGCCTCAAGTTCTGCAATCTTGCTTGTATACACACTGAAGAGCACCGGTGAAACTGCAGAACCCAGGGGTAGTCCAGGGACGATGTTGTATGCTTCTAAGGTCCATGTACCCAGGTGGGGGTGGGGGGGGGGGCGACTTTATGTGAATGCAGGACAACTGCTATTCAGTTCACCAGGCTGGGACACACCACCTTCTTATCTTGAGCACAAATATCAAAACATCGTACATGAGTCTACTGTAAGCATCCTCAACTCAAAATCACGAGTCGCCACCACCGTCTCCTGCCTATTCTAGAACCCCTCATGAACATCAAAAGCTAAGGTTAAACAGGTGTCTTTTCCTAACCTATAACTGCTCAGACCTCTTGGCAAGAGCTCTTATGTAACTATTGAAAGTGCAGTATCACAGCAATAATCTTCTCAAGCGCCTTGCCAAAAGTATTTTGAAGAGTGAAAATCCTGAAACCGCCGAGTCTCATATGATATTTGTCTGGTTTTCGAAGATCTTTTCTTATTGCAATTATCATTAATGTATTCGATAGATTATCTCAAAGTGAATTTCTTGGTTCCCTGTCATTATGATCAGTTGGTGTTATAATTCTGTATATATCTCGGACATGTTATGGGAAGAAACGGACTCAAGAACTTGATGACTGCTAAATTCATTGATGCAAGCAGAAGTGAAAGAAAAAACACCCCGATGGCTTAACCATATAGATGGTGGCGAGGAAAAAGCAATGCCTTGATCCGTGACTCTGGTGATCGTCTGAGATTGCGAAACATGACAATCTGCGCCTATCGGTACTGTATGTGCTAATGATGATGGTATATACATGAGTTTTATCGGTTAACGTTTAATCCACAGACCAGAAAGCCCAACAAGTAACCTGAGCAGCCTCAGAGAAAGAAATCCAAATCTCTCTGATCATTATCGTGATTGGAATGGCTCTGCAGGGTTTTGGCAAGGCACCTCGGGCATCGTTTTCTATAGTATATGTCGATGACAACACATCCAAGGTCAACACTGGTTTTTACGCAGGTCAGTAGTCCGTAACACAGAGTTTTACAGAGGTGACTATTTCAGAACAATGGGTTTTACACAGGTGACTATTTCAGAACAATGAGTTTTACAGAGGTGACTATTTCAGAACGATGGGTTTTACACAGGTGAGTATTTCAGAACGATGGGTTTTACACAGGTGAGTATTTCAGAACAATGGGTTTTACACAGATGAGTATTTCAGAACAATGGGTTTTACACAGGTGACTATTCTGCAATAAGGGGTTTTACAGCAGAGTATCCTAGAATACTGATTTACAAGGTGAGTATTAGAGAACATTAAATGCGTTCTTTTCTCTCGGGGTGGTTTCACTGCGGGGTTTTATGCAGACTCGCATTTTAGCGGAGAGGACCGAGCTATACAGAATAAAACTCATTAAAATGAAGCCAATCTTCCCACTTTAACTTTAACGTTCAATTTTACATGACTGAGCCAATATCTTTCTTTTAAAAAATGATTGTTTGCCCATCTCCCATATTAAAATGATTATGCTCTCGCCTGACACCTTAAATTAAATGTTGTCTCATCTCCCATCTTAAAATAATTATGCCCATATCTCGCATTTAAAATGATTGTGCCCTTATCTTCCATATTATAATGATTGCGACCACGTCTTTAATTCTAGTATCATTGTGCCCTCATCTCAAATGTTAAAATGATTGTGCCCTCATCTCAAAGGTTAAAATGATTGTGCCGTGGCCTCCCACAGGTATAATGCTGTCCACCTCACTGCTGGGTCCAGTGGCCGCCTTCCTGTTGGGCGGGGTCTTTAGCCGCATGTACGTCACACTAGAAGGTAATCTCACACGCATGCTTTGACAATCGCCTATGTTAGCTCCGCTCCGTTAGCATGATTTACCCACCAAGTTTCAAATGTAGAGAACAGTTTGACAAGTGATCGATGACAATGTTCGATGATGTAAGCAATTGTACCGATAAATCTGTGCTGAACGGCTGATGATGTGAGCAATTGTACCGATAAATCTGTGCTGAACAGCTGATGATGTGAGCAATTGTACCGATAAATCTGTGCTGAACGGCTGATGATGTGAGCAATTGTACCGATAAATCTGTGCTGAACGGCTGATGATGTGAGCAATTGTACCGATAAATCTGTGCTGAACGGCTAATGATGTGAGCAATTGTACCGATAAATCTGTGCTGAACGGCTGATGATGTGAGCAATTGTACCGATAAATCTGTGCTGAACGGCTGATGATGTGAGCAATTGTACCGATAAATCTGTGCTGAACGGCTGATGAAGTGCATGGGAGGGAGTTCATTGCATAAGTGACTGGTCATCATCATTTGACACCACAACATCTAGTTTGAGAATGGAGGTGGAGGCAGTCACTGTAGCTTTAAACTGGTTTGAGAACCAGTTGCACACACAAATCCCATCTGCGACAGCTCACAAAGCACGCCGAGAGAGATGGAAACAGGCATTCTCCGTGCAGAGTGGCAAGCATCGCTTCAGAGGTTCCGATAGTTCTTTGCATATTTTATCCAGAGAATGACGGTGTGTTCAGAAATAAATAAACAGACACAATTGCTAGCTGTGCACCACTAGGTGCTAAATAGATTCATGACTAGGGTAGATAAGGCCAATGCCTCCTGCAAGCAAGTGAACAGGGTGGAAACCTAACTACGTAATCATGATGTTAAGAGAACCTGCAGCGAGGCCAATATTGAACATGCAGGGGAAAGTCAAGACTGACTTACAGTCAGAGTGTCTCCTTATTTCATCATTTTTTTCCTCCAATGAATTTAATTATAGGCGTTGATTAAAACGTGTTTGTATTTTATCTTTTTTTCACACAATTTGTCTTCTTTTTCTTCTTTTTTCGTCTCACTGATACCAGGTTGTAGCCCAGTGTCGTGGTTTTTTATGTCTCACTGATACCAGGTTGTAGCCCTGCTACGTGGTTTTTGTCGTTGGCAGCTACATACATTTTATTTCTCACCTCTCTGAAGAGAAGCTCGCCAACCTTAACACTGCTGGATGCAGTGCCAAGCGCCTGAGCACATCCTTACACACCCTTACATTCAACGGCTACATGTGTCAAGAGCCAAAAGAAGTACTTGGGGCTTCTTAGCAAAACTTAATGGTCGACGTTTGGTGCAGGAGAGCCTGGCATATGATACCACAACATCCAGCTTAAGAATGGAGGTGGAGGCGGTTACTGCAGCTTTCCGCTGGTTAGAGAACACGACACACACACACACACACACACACATCGTGATTGTAACTGATTCAGAAAGCATGCTGAGGAAGATCGGAACAGGTATGCTTCGTGCAGAGTGGCATGCTTCGCTGCGGAGGACACGAGTGAGGAGTATTGTCTGCATTTTTTCACAGGGTCAACGCTGGTGTGTTGGGAGATGAACAGCAGGACAGACTGGCTGGCTCTGCACAACTTGGTGGAATACTGATACATGATAGGGCAGACGTGGTTAGTGCCTTGTGGGAGAGCGTGTACAATTCGGAGGAGCAGATGGATCACCACGGTCTGGTGAGACTAATGTAGTTGGGGGTGACGAGAGGTTCTGGCAGATGCTCGAGGCTCAGAGGAAAGGCAAGACCAACGTTTAATCAGAATGCTACTGGTACCATTAGTATCAGAACTCTTCGCTGGCTGCTGAAGATGGGGACGGAACGCTTAAGGGAATGCCCTGAGTGCTGTGATGTCGGTTCTTGAATCAAATCAAATCATTCTATTTTTATTCACTGCCTTTTTCAGACATCTCATCTCTTAGTTAATTCGTTTTCTTAAGTGTTCTTTAGTCAATTTTCACTTTTCCCCGTGTGGGTTCCGGGGCCCCATCGTGGGGAAAACAAGAATAGACCCTCTGCCTACCAAAAAGCATGTCGTAAGAGTCGACTAATTGGGGAGCTTCCTTTGAAGTCGGAGTGCATCTGCCTGAGAGGCAAGGAACCAACAGTCTGGTTCAAGTGAATCAGATCTGTAAAACTGATGCACACGCAACACTCAGGTTCTGGAGCAGGACTGCAGTTCAGAAGAGGACGAACAACCAGAACTTTCCACCAGAGTGTACAGCTGGTGAACGCGAAGAAGAAGAAGAAGAAGAATTTTCACTTTATAATGTGTTAATTTTCATGGGAATAACAGAATTAATGAATGAATGAACTTTATTTTCAAATGGTCGTATACAGGACGCGATTGCCGTCTTACATTTGGCCCTGCCAACCAGTCACCGTTCACATAACAACAATATTATATCCATAAAACGAGTTATTTTGACAGCAATACAAATAGTATGAATCTCGGAGCGAATATTTGCAGCCAATACCAATTATTATTATTATTATTATTATTTTAACAGCTACACAGCTGACGCCACGTCATCCTAAATGGATCGGGGCCTGGTGGTTAGGTTACATCGTGTTTGGGCTGCTCTCTTTGATCGTGTCCATCCCTCTCTTCTGTTTCCCGCGCAAACTGCCTAGAAAGAAGGTCAAGGACAGTCACGTGGAGCAGGAAACGATCACAGGGTAACTAGAGACGTTGTTGTTGCTTCTTTATGGTTGTTGGTACTATTTTGTTACTTCGTAGCTGGTTTTGTTACTGCTGATGTTACTGTTACTAATACTGTTGTTCTTGGTGCCGCTACTGAAGATGTTACAGTCATTAAACGGTTATGCTGAATTCTCGTTCAGGAAACAAGGGTTCGAGTCTATGGTAATTCCCGTGTGGGTTCTGGGCAACACTGGTCGGGGGGGGGGGGGGGGGGGAGAGCATCCTCAATCCTTCTTACAAGCATGTCTCAATAGTCGATTAATAAAGGGTGTTTCCTTCGAAGTCGGAGTGTCTCTGCATGAGAGGTGAGAAACACCTATCGTCTTCGTTCAAGTGAGCAGGATCTGTAAAACGACTATGCACGCGAAACTCAAGTTCTGAAACCAAACCAAAGTCCAAAAGTGGACGAACAATCTGAATCTTCCCATGAAGTTTACAGGCGGTGAACGCGAAGAAGAAGAATTATATATAAAGTTATGAAAATAGTTCTTTTGGAGGATAAAATCAAAACTACTAACGTTAACAGTTTGTAACAATTGTTCTAGCCACTCTGTCATAAGTTATCAGACCCCCCCCCCCCCCCCCCCCCACACTCTCCAACACACCACCGTCTACCATAGCTTGTACTAAATATAAGCAACAAGGACACATGGCAGAACGTTTTGACAATAGATTATGATAGGTTATGATTTCTAACTTTATCTCTGATATAATTAACAAAAATTACATCTTATAGTGAACTGGCTTAATTTGGTATGTTGTTTAGACGTGACGAAGCGCTGCATTTGGCCCATTCACACAAACTGGAAAAACCAGCACAGCAAGAAGGTGTGCTGGATAGTCATACAGCTCATATCGGCAGAATAGTCTGGTTCAAAACATTAGTACGGCATGCAAGAGGTAAGAGGGAATTAGAATATCTCTTTAGATAGATTGTCTGAACACTAGATGCTTCACAGAAGCTTTAGTTTTGTATCATCATTATCCCGTAACACTGTGTGCCGTTGGGCCACGTCGATGATGTCTGACTGATCAGCTGCTGCCACGTTTGACGGTTGTAATGAACCTGTTGTCAGTTAACTTTTTGAGTCCCAGGGGGTTTAGCATCACAGGCCCAGGGGGTAGTAAAGAAAGTAATAAAATCGGTGCATCATGCGTTCATTGGGCTTCTAGGTAGGAACCTATGAACGTTCCCTGGGACTCAAAGAGTTAAGCTCTCTGTCCACGTCTGTCTTAGTCTGCCTCTTGTCCGCTACTGAGCTCTGCAGTGTTATTGTTGAGAGACCGATATGTCCGTAGCATTGCGTTTCCAGTCTTGTCACTGTAGTTAAGAGAGGTTCATCTTTGCTAGTTCTCTAGATAAATAGCTATATCATTTTCACAAGCACCAGTAGTGTTGCTAGTTGTAGGAGTAGTTGTTTTTGCTAGTTATAGGAGTAGTTGTTGTTGCTAGTTGTAGGAGTAGTATTTGTTGCTAGTTGTAGGAGTAGTTGTTTTTACTAGTTGTAGGAGTAATTGTTGTTGCTAGCTTTTGTAGTAGTGTTGCTAGTTGTAGGAGTAGTAGTGATGCTGGTTGAAGGAGTAGTAGTGTTGCTAGTTGTAAGAGTAGTTGTGTTGCTAGATATAGGAGTAGTTGTGTTGCTAGTGGAAGAAGTAGTAGTGTTGTTAGTTGTAAGAGTAGTTGTGTTGCTAGATGTAGGAGTAGTTTTTGTTAGTTGTATGAGTAGTAGTGTTGCTAGTGGAAGGAGTAGTTGTGTTGCTAGTGGAAGGAGTAGCAGTGTTGCTAGTGGAAGGAGTAGTAGTGTTGCTAGAGGAAGGAGTAGTTGTGTTGCTAGTGGAAGGAGTAGCAGTGTTGCTAGTGGAAGGAGTAGCTGTGTTGCTAGTGGAAGGAGTAGTTGTGTTGCTAGTTGAAGGAGTAGCAGTGTTGCTAGACCTGGCTGCAAAGTCGTAGGCGATGTGGTATTACTATTGGTAGTTGTGGCAGCAGTAGTGTTAGAATTAAAACTTTCGGTAACGATATTGGTGTGTTTATGCTGGGGACAGTAGTGGTCGTGTTATTAAAATCAGTAGTAGCAGCGGACGCTGAGGTATACTCTGAAATGAGGTCGCGTCCCCAGAATCGCGGAATTATGGCAACCCTAGTATTAGCAGTAGTAGTAGTTAAATTAGTAGTAGTAGTAGCAGCAGCAGCAGCAGCAGTAGTAGAAGTTTGAATATCTACCTTATATTACAGCTGACTGCCACATTATCTTGTACATATTCCACTCATTAACGTCAATCTGAGGCAGTTGTAACAAATTGTCAAAGCTGATCTGTTTTTTCCTCACACAGAATTCCTGTCATCCTTGTACCGACTACTCACAAACCCTCTGTACGTTTGTCTCATATGCTCCTCATGCGGCAACATGTTCCAGGCAGCAGCTAACCTTGCATTCTTCCCCAAATTCGTGGAGAGGATGTTTCACCTGCCGGCCCATACAGCCAATTACATCACAGGTGAGTTACAGTCTGTTCCAAAAATCGCACCCTTAAACTTTAACAAATATCTCGAAACCCCTTGTACTGATAAAAACACAAATGTATGCAGTCTTAGATTTCTCATGTCCGTGTGATTTTGTAATTTATAAGTGCACATTGTGCTACTTGTTTCTTAAAACGGCGATAAAAAAGAATAATTGTTAGACTAATAATGTGTGGGCCCCAAAACTATAATATGCAATAATTGACACAAATCGATTACCTAAAACCACAAGCGTGGAGATTATTGTAAAAATTATTTAATAAATGCAGTGGTTTTGAAAATCATTTCAGTAATTCCGCTATGCGTGGTGATATGTTGATAGCCTATCCCGCATACAATGACAAGTTCTGTTCGTGTAACACATGAAAGGCTTATTTAGGAGACTGAGCACCAGAGAGTGAAACACCTATGAAGTGAGTTACAATTATGTTAATAAGATTATGACAGTAAATAAAGAATGTAGCTCGCTATTAAAAATCAGTGCGTCCTTCGTAGGTTACCTCTAAGCATGTACAGTTTGATGATTTACAAAATTCGCAAAACTCCATTAAGTGTAAACATGTTGATTATTTGCATTCTGTGTGTGTGTTTTTTTTTTAATACACCGCAAATTGCTTACATTACAATTATTTTCATGGATTTTAACGACAAGCATGCCAAATTTCAACACTTTACACTGAAGTTTACTGCGTTATAGATTTTTAATAATGGCGAAGACTTTTTGAACTGACTATACCTTTCTAAATGTGTAGTAAAAGTCAATGGTGTTTTTTTTAGGACAAGTACAGAAATTTAAGTATCTGGGCACAAGGATAACATCAGATGGAAGATGCATAACTGAAATAAGAAACAGAATTGGACAGGCAAAAACTGCATTTTATAAAATGAAAAACTTCTTGTGCAATATATCCTTGTCATTCAGAGTTAGAAAAAGAATTCTTGCTTGCTACAAACATCCAGTTTTAACATATGGATGTGAATCCTGGACAATCGGTAGGCAGGCCAAACAATTTTTAGAGGCCTCAGAGATGTGGTTTTACAGAAGAATGCTTAAAATACCTTGGACAGCCAAAAAGAGCAACCAAGAGGTTTTCAAAGAGGCGTGAGCCCGAAGACAATTTATCACAGACATCAGAAGGAGACAGTCATCATTTTTCGGCCATGTTATGAGAAGAGGGAAAATAGAACATGTTGTGACCACTGGAAAGATCTGTGAAAAAAAAGGATAGAGGAAGACAAGCAGAGAAGATGCTTGACAGTCTTGTTGCATAGAATGGAGGTGTGTCGGCACACGAACTAATACATGCTGCAGGAGATCGCAGATTATGGAGAGGCATGATCGCCCACGCCAGTCGGCAAGGCACCTGATGATGATGATGACACCTTTCTTTGCATACTGGCTCGTATATATGATAGCTTTGGTACTTGTTTTTATAATCTAGGAAATAGCCTTGGTACTCTTGTTTGTATAGCTCAAGTGTTAAAGGAGGCACTTTGGTTTGTAAAATTCAAGTAATACCTTTTTTTAATCAGAAACCACGACACGATACTATGGATATCGCAACCCTTCGGCCTTGATTCCATAAATAGATAGGTACTGTAAATCTGGGAGAAATGTGGCTTTACTGCCTACTTTCTGGCGTGAAATCGGACCACAAGGAGTTCGTAACTTGGTCGCCTCGAAGTCAGCTTTAACCAACTAACTCTAAAACCATTAGTTTAGTTCAGGTGGTAACTTTGACTCTAATCCGTGTGTAATTCATGTGGTAGCTTGGAATCTTATACGTGTATAATTCAAGTGCTGGCTATGGCTTCAACACTTGCATATTTTATCTGGTAACTTAGGCAGTTTTATTTGTTGCGTTGCCCGGCTCTCTAGCGTAGTTCGCTAATCCGGATTGCGCGGTGACCGGGTGACAAACTCCTTGTGGTCTGGGTTCACTGCCGGAGGTAGGCAGAAAAGCCACATTTCTACCAGATTTACGGTATTTACAATGGAATCAAGGCTGAAAGGTTTCGATATCCGTAGTACCGAGCCAAAGAATTAACAACTCATGGCTTCTGGATACTAAAACAAACTAACAACAATCTGGTAACTTAAGCAGTTTTATTTGTTGCGTTCCTTAAATATGGAGTTTTGAATGTTTTAACTGCTAACTTTGACCTGAACGATGCCTTATACTTCCAGCTGGCCAGTACTTGTGTACATACTGTGTAGGAACTTTCATCGGTGGCTTTCTGACCAAACGATTCAAGATGACCGCCATGACCAGCATCAAGTTTAACATCGCTGCATTCAGTTTATCTCTCCTGTTTCAATTCCTGATGTTCGTTTTCCAGTGCGAGCAGCCAACCATTCACAATTGGCCTGGGTGAGTTCATTTTCTAGTGGCTCTTCACACGTGAGAATTATGTTTCATCTCGACATCCTGGCCAGAAATGGGCAAACTCAATCAGCAAAAGGCGAATGGAAACACAAGAACTGTTTAAGGCTTCAGCGGTCAGCCAGCCTGTTAGTCATATTGGACAGTAACTCGAATTTCTATAGACACTGACGACACATGCAAGCTACTATCTGTCTATCTATCTATCTATCTATCTATCTATCTATCTATCTATCTATCTATCTATCTATCTATCTATCTATCTATCTATCTATCTATCTATCTATCTATCTATCTATCTATCTATCTATCCTATATTCTATCTATCTATCTATCTATCTATCTATCTATCTATCTATCTATCTATCTATCTATCTATCTATCTATCTATCTATCTATCTATCTATCTATCTATCTATCTATCTATCTATCTATCTATCTATCTATCTATCTATCTATCTATCTATCTATCTATCTATCTATCTATCTATCTATCCTATCTATCTATCTATCTATCTATCTATCTATCTATCTATCTATCATCCTATCTATCTGTCTGTCTCTATCTATCTCTATCTATCTGTCTGTCTGTCTGATCTGTCTGTCTGTCTGTCTGTCTGTCTGTCTGTCTGTCTGTCTAGTCTGTCGGTCGGTCGGTCGGTCGGTCGGTCGGTCGGTCGGTCGGTCGGTCGGTCGGTCGGTCGGTCGGTCGGTCGTCGTCGGTCGTCGGTCGGTTTCGGTCGGTCCCGGTCGGTCGGTCGGTCGGTCGTAGTCGTCGGTCGGTCGGTCGGTCGGTCGGTCGGTCGGTCGGTCGGTCGGTCGCGTCGGTCGGTATCGGTCGGTCTGGTCTATCGCGTCGGTATCAGGTCGGTCGGAGTCGGTCGGTCTATCGTCGGTCACCGGTCGGTCGGTCGGTCGGTCGGTCGGTCGGTCGGTCGGTCGGTCGGGTCGTCGGTCGGTCGGTCGGTCGGTCGTCGGTCGGTCGGTCGGTCGGTCGGTCGGTCGGTACGGGTCGGTCGGTCGGTCGGTCGGTCGGTCGGTCGTCGGTCGGTCGGTCGGTCGGGTCGGTCGGTCGGTCGGTCGGTCGGTCGGTTCGTCGGTCGGTCGGTCGGTCCGGTCGGTCGGTTCGGTCGGTCGGTCGGTCGGTCGGTCGGTCGTGCGGTCGCGTCGGTCGGTCGGTCGGTCGGTCGGTCGGTCGGTCGGTCGTCGGTCGTCGCCGTCGGTCGGTCGGTCGGTCGGGTCGGTCCGGTCGTCGGTCGGTCGGTCGGTCGGTCGGTCGGTCGGTCTGTCTGTCTGTCTGTCTGTCTGTCTGTCTGTCTGTCTGTCTGTCTGTCTGTCTGTCTGTCTGTCTGTCTGTCTGTCTGTCTGTGTTTGTGCATAAGCTCTTTAGTCACTTTTGTCATACAGTTCATTCACAAAAGATCTCAACTGCTGCCGGTCTGTTGCTCTTCTACCAAAGGTATCCCATGTGACTTTCCTTCATTTCTCTGTCTACTTTCCTCCAGGTTTCCTTAGATGGTCAAAATCTCTGTATCTGTTAAGTATCCCATGTCACTTTCCTTCATTTTCCTGTCTACTTTCCTCCAGGTTTCCTTAGATGGTCTAAATCTCTGTATCTGTTAACAGTAAAATGTATGTCGTTAAAGTGTTCACTCCGTCACAAGAAAAGTCAGTTCGTGTTCAAGTTTTGAATCTTCTTCTTCTTGTGTGACACGCGAACAGCGAAGAGAACAACTGCAACAAGGGATGTAACTGCAGGGACAACAGTTACTTCCCCATCTGTGGAGACGATGGCAGGACCTACTACTCTCCTTGTCACGCCGGCTGTCTCCAGGCGGAGCTCAGGGTACGATACGTTTCTGTAGGAATATAACGTGATGTGTGTTTCGTTGTGTTTGAATTCTAGTGATTTATGTCTGCATTTTCCCTATATGTGTGTGTGTGTGTGTGTGTGTGTTAGAGAGATAGAGAGATAGAGAGAGAGAGAGAGAGAGAGAGAGAGAGAGAGAGAGAGAGAGCGAGAGAGAGAGAGAGAGTTGTGACTAAGTGGCTGAATTAATACTATATTTGTCCCATTATGGAATGTAAATATTTTAAAAAACCACCCCGGCTGTTTTCAGGGGTCCTAATATAACCTAACGGTTGAACGGGGTCTCTGTTCTTGTGCCCGGCTGATCCTCATTCGAACGGTCCCACTTTGTGTCACCGGTTATCGGTCGTTCGTTGTACTGTCCTGTTGGGTTTGAACAAAACAGCTAAGTGACCGCGCGTATATTTTCTTTCCTACAGTATCTTTCTCTGTCCTTGAGGTAAAGGTTCTACTTGCCCTTTTGATTTCACATGTTATCACTGTTACTTTTTCTTTTTCTCTGTCGTCTTCTCGTAGCCTGTTGTTTTATCATCGTGATCAACTCCTTCTCCCCTTGTTCTCATCCTTCTTTATCCTTTTCTTCTCTGTACAGTGATCATTATCATCATTTTTTCTGCTTCTTCCTTTCTTTCTTCTTTTTGCTCATCTTCTTGTTCTTGTTTTTGTTCTTATTGTTCTTCTTGTTCTTCTTTTTTTTTCTTCTTCTTCTTCTTCTTCTTCTTCTTCTTCTTCTTCCTTTCCTTCTTCTTTTTGCTCATCTTCTTGTTCTTGTTTTTGTTCTTCTTGTTCTTATAGTTCTTCTTGTTCTTCTTATTTTCTTCTTCATCTTCTTCTTCTTCTTCTTCTTCTTCTTCTTCTTCTTCTTCTTCTTCTTCTTCTTCTTCTTCTTCTTCTTCTTCTTCTTCTTCTTCTTCTTTTCCTTCTTTTTCTCCTTCTTCTTCGTAATCATCTTCTTTATCTTCCTTTTCTTTTTATCATCTTCATCATCTTCTTCTTCTTCATCTTCTTCTTTATCATCTTCATCTTCTTTTACTTTTTTTCTTCTTCTTCTTCTTTTTTCTTCCTCTTCATCTCCTCCTCCCCTATTGACCCTCCACCTCCTCCTCTTCCTTTTCCCCTATTGACCCTCCTCCTCCTCCTTCTCCCCTATTGACCCATGTACGCGCGGGTTTTTGCATGCACTTTACAACTCATGCTTTTGTGTTCTTTTATAATATTTATAATATGCATAACATCATATGATCATAACATGCTTTCTTAGTAAAACACAACTGCTGTGCGAAAGATGGTTGACTGGAAGGGCCGAATGTAAGACGGGCCTGCGTGCCCAATTTGTGACCCTTTGAAAATAAAGTTCGTTCGTTCGTTCGTTCCCTATTGACCCTCCACCTCCTCATTCTCCTTCTCCCCTATTGACCCTCCACCTCCTCCATCTTCTCCCCTATTGACCCTCCACCTCCTCCTTCTTCCCTATTGACCCTCCACCTCCTCCTTCTTCCCTATTGACCCTCCACCTCCTCCTTCTTCCCTATTGACCCTCCACCTCCTCCTTCTTCCCTATTGACCCTCCACCTCCTCCTTCTTCCCTATTGACCCTCCACCTCCTCCTTCTTCCCTATTGACCCTATACCTCCTCCTTCTTCCCTATTGACCCTCCACCTCCTCCTTCTTCCCTATTGACCCTCCACCTCCTCCTTCTTCCCTATTGACCCTCCACCTCCTCCTTCTTCCCTATTGACCCTCCACCTCCTCCTTCTTCCCTATTGACCCTCCACCTCCTCCTCCTTCTTCCCTATTGGCCCTCCACCTCCTATTCCTTCTTCCCTATTGACCCTCCACCTTCTCCTCCTTCTTCCCTATTGACCCTCCACCTCCTCCTCCTTCTTTCCTATTGACCCTTTACCTCCTCCTCCTCCTTCTCCCCTATTGACCCTCCACCTCCTCATTCTCCTTCTCCCCTATTGACCCTCCACCTCCTCCTTCTCTTCTATTGACCATCCTCCTCCTCCTTCTCCCCTATTGACCCTCCACCTCCTCCTTCTCCCCTATTGACCCTCCTTCTCCTCCTTTTCCCATATTGACCCTCCACCTCCTTCTTCTCCCCTATTGACCCTCCACCTCCTCCTTCTCCCCTATTGACCCTCCTCCTCTTCCTTCTCCCCTATTGACCCTCCACCTCCTCATCCTCTTTCTCCCCTATTGACCCTCCTCCT